CACGTTGAAATGTAATTCTATCACTGTATACATATATCATCAATAATATGTAAACATTTGAAATGTATGATAATGGTGTTAATTATTTTGTATTGTGATGCTTTGGCAACATTGTTTAATTTAACTTTCATGCCAATAAAGCCCCTTTGAATTGAATTGAGAGAGAGAGAGAGAGACTGCAGTCAGCATGTCGTTGTGTCCCTGAGACACTTCACCCCAAATTGCTCCTGTGGGATTGTCCACAGTATTGAGCATGTTAGTCGCTTTGGATAAAAGCGTCTCTAACATGTGATGTAGTGTGTGTGACTTGCGTGCTGGTTATTTCTCTGTCCACTCTTTCTTGGCATTGGTTCATTGTGCTTCGTCATCAAGGCGGGGCTGCTTTGCTCCAGATGTGTGGAGAAGGGTCTGCAGCTGTGTCTGATGCTCTGCTGCGTACAGAGCCAGCTGGAATGTCATCTTGAACAAGTTCCTCACTTCTGTTGCCCTTGTTGTCTCCTCGTCCTCCTTCCCTTTGTCTTCTTATTAATGTTAATGATGATGTAAAGCACATTGAATTGTATTGTGTAAACGTACCTTACATTACCTCTTCCTTCTCCTTCAGTCCGCAGCCCCCGCAGCCGAAGACCCCCGAGGTGCCGTGGACGGAGACGGACTCCCCCGTCTTCCACCTGACCGACGACTCCTTCGACAGTTTCCTAGAGGAACATCCTGCCGCCGTCATCATGTTCTACGCCCCCTGTGAGTAACAGAGCACACACATCACAGTTACATCTTACATTATATATGATTTATTTGTGACATTGTCAAACACAGAAAGCAGACATACATAGACCCTCACGTGAACAATGAAAGAGACCGGCTACTGTGCCTTGAACGAGGTGTGATGTATTCTAGCTCAAATAGAAACACCTGTGTAATGGAACACGATGATGTCAGCAGCAGACTTCAGGTAGCAGTGTGCCAACAGTCCAGCCGTGAAGACATCTACGGGACAGTTTTGAGATTTCTCCAAATGCCGTTGCCATGGCAACACAATGCTCGCCTTGAAACACGGTTTTCTCATAACTTCAGTGAAAATACTCCAAACAGCCCAGAACTTCACAGGTTTGGTAACGATGCAGCCATTAAAACATCTAAGCGTATTATGGGGTGTCATCAAATGTCGTTGCCATGGCGACAGATCATTCACCATCAAGTTAGTTCAAAAGTTTGCAGTTCAAATATTCTGCTGCTTTTCGAAGCCTTTTTACTTTCTTTTCTTCTCTTATCACACATCCAAGCCCCCAGTGTTCATGTATAATTTCAATCTAAATTCTTCACTTTCTTCTTACACATTACATTTCAGAATAGCAGTTTAGCATCAGATTTTCAGCATAAAGCATTCCCACTAGCAATTTCTTCAGGAATTGCATTCTCTAGTTTATCTTGTTATCTGCAATTGCTGCATAATCACGACACAGATGAATGCACATTTGCTGCTAACGGTATGTATAGCACCAGGAGAGTGTATGTGAGATCAGAATAAACTGCAACGTCATAATATAGGGACATATCACAAAGTGAAACGGTGATATGTGTTTTAATTATTTCTGGAAAACAGCTGAGCTCTTGAATGATATAAACACGGTGAAATATTTGTTGTAGGATGAATTGACTGTGAGTTTTGATCTTTTCATTCATTAGATTGCCAGTAATAAGACATGCATGCAGAGATTTGCCTTGTCCTTTAAAAACCCACTTTTCATTACATTTTTTCATTACATTTCATTTAGCTGACGCTTTTATCCAAAGCGACTTACAATTACCGATTACAGGGACATCTTCCCTGGAGTAACTAAGGGCTAAGTGCCTTAGATCTCAGTGCTGCGTTTGACACTGTCGACCACAGCATATTACTAGACCGACTGGAAAACTGGGTGGGACTTTCGGAAACAGTTCTAAATTGGTTTGAATCCTACTTAAAGGACAGAAACAACTTTGTTTCTATAGGTAAATACACATCTGAGTTGACAAATATGACATGTGGGGTTCCTCAAGGCTCCATCTTGGGGCCTCTTCTCTTTAACATCTACATGCTACCACTGGCTCAGATAATGAAAAACAACAAAATAAGTTACCATAGCTATGCAAATGACACACAAATGTACGTAACAATGTCACCAGGAGACTATGCTCCAATTCAAACACTCAGTAAGTGCATTGAACAAATCAATGACTGGATGTGTCAGAACTTTCTCCAATTAAACAAAGATAAAACTGAGGTAATGGTTTTTGGAGCCAAGTCAGAACGTATAAAAGTTAGCGCTGAGCTTCAGTCTGCAATGTTCAAAACAACAGATAAAGCCAGAAATCTAGGTGTAGTCATGGACTCTGACCTGAGTTTCAACAGTCACATTAAAACAGTTACTAAATCAGCCTACTATCACCTAAAGAATATATCTAGGATTAAAAGACTAATGTCACAGCAGGATTTGGAAAAACGTGTCCATGCCTTTATCTTCAGTAGACTGGACTACTGTAATGGTGTCTTCACAGGTCTCACTCAAAAATCTATTAGGAAGCTGCAGCTGATTCAGAACGCCGCTGCTCGAGTCCTCACTAACACTAAGAAAGTGGATCACATCACTCCTGTTCTGAAGTCTTTACACTGGCTTCCTGTGTGTCAAAGAATAGATTTCAAAATACTGCTGCTGGTTTATAAAGCACTGAATGGTTTAGGCCCAAAATACATTTCTGACCTCCTGCTAAATTATGAACCATCCAGATCTCTCAGGTCTTCAGGGACTGGTCAGCTTTCTGTCCCCAGAGTCAGAACTAAACATGGAGAAGCAGCGTTCAGTTATTATGCTCCAAATATCTGGAACAAACTCCCAGAAACCTGCAGGTCCGCTGCAACTCTGACTACTTTTAAATCCAGGCTGAAGACTTTTCTTTTTGTCGCTGCTTTTAATTGAACTATTCATATCTTAGACTGCACTGTAACTTTTATCCATGTACTTTTTCTTTTAATGTTTATTTTATTAGCTTTTCTTTTTAATGACTGATTTTAAATGCCATTTTCTGAATGTCTTTCATTTTTTGTAAAGCACTTTGAATTGCCTTGTGTTGAAAGGTGCTATATAAATAAACTTGCCTTGCCTTACTCAAGGGCACACTAGTGGTGGTGTTCCAGGTGGGATTTGAACTCACAGCCTTCCGATCTTCAGCCCACCTCACTATCCATTAGATCAGGGGTTCTCAACCTTTTTTCCCAAGAGCCCCCCCTAATGACTCCTGTTGGAAGTTGCGCCCCAACAGTTGCGCAACAGCGGTAATTAAAGTTTAAAAGTCTCAAAAAAGCTACAACTACTGTCTCAAACTGGATGAATGTGAAGTATTTAGTTAAAGGAGAATGAAAGCGTAATTAAGGAGCACTATTGGAGTGACTTTGATGGTTATTGGACTCAGGATTAATTCATTTGGATTCCCGCTGTATGAAGAAATTAAAGGACGGCACAAGTGGAAACAATTCACAAAGGGATTAAACTGTTTAAAACACATGCTCAAAGTAAGCCGGATTTTGCCGATGTGTTTATGTGGATTCAAAAGTCGTACATAATCTACAAAATGGAGGAGACCGATCTGATCAGAGCAACTGTGACAAATAATCCAACTGAAACCAGCATGGACAATCACTATGTTTTTAAAATGCGCTTATCCAGACAAGCCTGGTTTGGACACTTTACGGGCAGAAGAAACATTTCTATTAAAGAACGAATTATACATTTCTGTCTTTTTATGCCTTTAATACTAACTTGAATTTTTATTCAAATTAATTAATCAATTATTTTTTATATTTTATTGTAATGTAGAGACAAGGCTTTCAGTGACAATCATGTATTGAGTTACAATTATATGTAAAAAAAGAATAAAAAAAAGTCTAAATATGATATTTGGCCTCAAATCATCATCTAATAATAATTTAATAATTCATTTATTTTATATAGGCGCCTTTCAAGGCTCTCAAGGTCGCCGTACAAACACATGAAAAACAAGATACACAATACCTAACACCAGCATAAGAAACATAAACAAGACAATGCAGTATATAAATCAAATAAATAAAACAGAGGATGTGTGATGGATAATGATCAGGGTGGATATGCGAGTGTGAAGAGATATGTTTTGAGGCGTTCCAGAGGCGGGGTGCAGAGCGGCTGAAGGCTCTAGACCCCATGGTGGTTAGGCGGAAGGGGGGTGCAGTGAGGCTGAGGGAAGCAGAAGATCTGAGTGTGCGGATGGGTGTGTTGATGTGCAGGAGGTCGGAGAGGTACAGAGGAGTGAGGTTATGGATGGCCTTAAAGGCGAGGAGCAGAATCTTAAAAACGATACAGGGATTTGACGGGGAGCCAGTGAAGCTGCTGAAGAACAGGAGTGATGTGGTTAATGGAGGGGGTTCTGGTGATGATGCGGGCGGTAGAGTTCTGGACCAGTTGAAGTCTGTGGATGGATTTGAGAGGGAGACCAAAGAGAAGGGAGTTGCAGTAGTCGATGCGGGAAGTGACCAGGGTGTGAACAAGAATGGCGGTGGTCTTAGGGTTAAGGGACGGGCGGAGGCGGTTGATGTTGCGTAGATGGAAATAGGCAGACCGAGTGATATTACTGATGTGAGATTTGAATGAAAGTGTGCCATCGAGGATGACACCCAGGCCTGGCGCCCCCCCTGCGATATTTGGCGCCAAGGGGGGCGTGCCCCCCAGGTTGGGAACCACTGCATTAGACCACCACTACCCCTTTTCACCCTCAGAAATACAGAGAGACTTCAGAAAGTCGTCTGGATAGTCAAATCTCTGCATCAAGTGTGTGAGGAGCTTCACATTCCTTCCTGCTGTGTTAAACATTGTTTTGCCAATGCTCTAGGGCTGAACTGTTATTTAGTCATACAAATAACGTCATCGTCAGTTATAATAGCCAGAGACGGATCAGGCTGGCTGCAGTAACTTAGCCCTTTTGTATCTCGTCATCACAGTGGAGCTCATCCTCACAGCAGATCCTTCTCTGCTGCCATATGGTTCACATAAGCCTGGTGTCAGTGTTATTCACGCACCATTCTGCCGTGTCTGCAGATCTTTGTAAACATGCCAGGTTTTGTCAGTGGTTTAGAAGTCTTCTGCTTTGGTCCTGCGTGAGAGGGAGCTGTACAATCATGCAAATATATTCACCCTATTTAGAAACACATTGTGAGAGCAGCAGCCTCATGACACAATCCAAACCCTGGGTCTATTGTTGGACCTTTTTTGTTTTTTCTTCCCACTAACTCATCACCTTCACCCCCTCCCCTCCCCTCCATGCTCATATCATTACATTACATTACATTACAAGTTACTTGTTAGACGCTTTTATCCAAAGCAACTTACATACTCAATACTGTGGACAATCCCCACAGGAGCAATTTGGGGTGAAGTGTCTCAGGGACACAACGACATGCTGACTGCAGTGGGGTTTGAACCTGTGCTCCCCTGATCCGAACACCAACGCACTAACCCACACGCCTATCAGCCTCCGCCAATAAACGAATAAATAACAAGAGCGTCCTTTTCCCTGGCGTTCACCATAATGATGATTCATTGTTTTCAAGATTTCATCACATACTTTGCTGCAGTTTTCATACCTAACGGAGGCGTGTGGCGCAGTGGGTTGTGCATATGTGTTGGGGTCAGGGGGTCACAGGTTCAAACCCCACTGCAGTCAGCATGTCG